CCAGATTGGTTGCTGTCCAGGAGGTTGTTCTGTGTGAGAAAGGTTGAACACAGCTTGGTTGAACACAGCTCGTTCAAGTGTTTTTGCAATGAAAGGAAGAAGGGAAACCGGTCTTTAGTTCTCTAAAAGAGATGGGTTAAGGGTGGGTTTCTTAAGTAGTGGGGTTATACGAGCCTGTCTAAATGCTGAGGGAAAAACACCAGTGTGAAGGGATGTGTTAATGATGTGAGTGAGTGCAGGTACAACTGCAGGAGAAATGGCTTATCCAATACAGTTGGTATTTATGAGAGAGATGTGTTTATGGGAATGAACCCTTTTACTTCAACAGTAGCATTTTAACAATCATGAGAAAGTTTGTTACTGCAAGCTAATTTTACTACTTATTGTTGAATATATGTCATCAGATATTTGAGATCATTCTACATGTGTACTGCTACATGTACTGTATATTATTAATTATTATTTCGTCCGTTAATAAACGCTATAAACTTGGCTGTCTTCTATAGCCTATACATTTTAGAAGCTGTGCAACTGATGATCTGTTTAATTTCTCATCAAAAAGGTAATTGCAAATATGCATGTTTCCCATCAGCATAAAACCCGGAGGGAACATTTTAAGCTGAAAACAGAAATGTTTATACTTGTGGGAGCTGAAAGACTCAGAGCTCATATTCAACATGAACATTCCTCTTGCAAATAGATTTGTAATTTGAAAGATGATGTTTTTTTTCTTGCTTTCTTAAATTGGCTGTATTTCAGCACATAAGGGGAAAGTGAATAAACAGAGTAAACCAAAGTAAACACTTGATAGCTTAACTGATTCACAGAGCATAACACACACAGACAGACAGAAAGTTGGAATAACACGACTGATTTATAACTACAAACCTTTTCAAACAGCTCTTGAGTGATCAGTTAAACAGTTCACACTAAATGACAAAACCACAAGTATTTTAAATAAAACTTTCAGTGGAATTCATTATCTTGGCAGTGCGATGTGTATGCTGTTCTAGAAATATATTGTAACTATATACTAGGTATAGGCACTAGGCAGTCTCTCTCTCTCTCTCTCACTCACACACACACACACTGAGTCACACAAGAGGGTGCTGTATCCTACAAAATCCGAGAACGTTAAGCTAAATTCATTCAGACCATCCTAAGGCAACTATATGGGCTCATACCATCAGGATCTTTCTATTAGAGAACAGTGACAGTGAGTATACTTGTTTACTCTGTTCTTTTCTGCTGTAGTAGCTTTAACTCGTTATCATATGTGGATATTTTGTCTTCCTTCTTTCTCAGCACATCTTCAGATCTTCTTTATGTAAATAGGTTGAATTAAGGTTAACTGAGTGGCATTAACTGAATCCACTGTATAATTCTGTGTATTTGTTCTTGTGTGTGCAGATATCAACATTTATGAACATTTGTGAATAGTTTATCAAAATAACAGCTTTTATTATAGCACATTAAGGCAAATGTTATAATGTATATAATATATTAAAAACAAGAGCTCCTAAAAAGAATACAAATAACAGAACATACTATGATGAAAGTTTGATCATTATACATTATACATATATAAAAATATATAATTGTGAACATCTTGATATTGAATATCTAAATAAATTTCTATATAAAGATTTAATGCCTTAAACATTTTAAACATAATGAAAATGTAATATTTGTGTATTTTTATATTATATTAAAAATAAAAATATATTCTGTTGATGTAACATCATTAGAATCTAACAAAATATCAACATTTGTTTTTTAATGCTTTTTTATGATTTATACATGTCCTTTTTATGCTGAATCTATAATTCGATTTCCCTTCTATTTGTAATATATTTGTGTATAAATTCAGATTTGAGAATGTGTTAAGGGGATCGTTCACCAAATCATTTATTCACCCTAATGTTGTTCCAAACCTGTATGAATTTCTTTCTTGCATGAAACATTAAAGATGTTTATTTGAAATATTTCTTTTTCTCTCCATCTAATGGAAGTTAATAGACACCAAACTGTTCGGTAACCAACATTTTTCATAATACCTTCTTTCATGTTCTGAGTAAATAATGACAGGATATTTATTTTTGGATGATCTGTCTCTTTAAGGCAAAGAACTAATGAAATACACAGTGATGCAGAACAGCCGTTTTAAGGTCAAGATGCCAAAGAGCTGATATGATACCAAGCAGGTTATATATACCAAACCGATCTAGGGAAACAAAGGAGCCGCACCTTATGCTTGAGCGTTTAATGTGTGAGAGCAGTTACACATTTTCCAACCACATATGTAAAAAAACAACAGCGTGGGTGACAATGTACTATTTTATCATGATTGCATATCATTGCCACATTAAATCACCCTAAAGGTAGCAAAAACAAGTGTGAAGAGAGACAACTGATGTGAATGTTTAATGCTTTATTCCTCTCTAGACACTGAGAATAATCCTTCAGAAGAACATGTTGCTGCTGAATAAGTTTCCTGCATGGCTTTCTGTATTCGCTTTGCTTTTGCTGACTCAGGAGCCTGTTTCTACGTCAGAGGTCACGGCCTGTGGACTTGCGGGTAAGCTTCCTGGCTGAATCCACTGAAATAATTTTTAAAAAATGGCACAATTCCAGACTTCTGCTCATTCTGTAGTGCAAAGAGAGTCAAACATGACTTTTATGTATAAGCTCTAATAGACTCTTAAATAGAACGGCTAAATATAACCCTCTTTAAAAGGGTCCATATAATGAACCATGCTTTTAAAGTGCTATAAACTATTTTACTAACAGTTTATTTTCATTCATATTTGTTTTATGTCTTTTAACCCTTTCTATACTTGGTCTTTTTGTAGCCTCATTTAAATAACGTCAATTGACCGTTCACAAAGAGCTTGATTGACAGGCGATCTGACCAATCAAAACGTGCACATTATGTGCCGCCGCTGCTATCCGACATCTACGGCCAGTCTCCATAGAAATCCATGTTAAAACGGGGTAAAAAAGATCGACTGAATTGAAACTTTTTCAATATAACTAAATATAAATATGTAAGGAGTGTTAAGCTGTGCTGTTGTTGGCTGCCACAGTAACGGCAATAAGCTAAGGAATTCCTTTAAAGTACCTGTTTTGCGTACCAGAAAACCTGTCATGT